GGGGCCAGAGTCGATGCCGGGGGCCGGGGGGCGGGGCTGGTGCCGGGGTCGGGGGCCGGGGGCCGAGGGCGCGGGTGGGGTCAAGTCGAGGGGCCGGCGGGGGTTGGCGTATGGAAGGACCGGACCGGTTCTATTTTCAGAACAGACCATAGGTCGCAGTGGGATTGACGTGCGCAGACAACAAACATGGAGCAAAGTATGTCAGCATGCAAAACATTGCAAACCACACAGAAATAGTACAGCCTCGCAATCAGTCACGACACCAGAAATCAGCAAGTCGTTGCACGTAGAGTACAAAACACACGCCGGTGACACATTACCAATGTCTCTCTCTCTCGCTCTCTCTCTCTCTCTCTCTCTCTCTCTCTCTCTCTCTCTCTCTCTCTCTCTCTCTCTCTCTCTCTCTCTTTCTCTCTCTCTCTCCCAATGTCGATATCTCCCGCGCCATACTTCGTTCCTCTTGTCTGCGCAACATAGAGCGAGCTCGAGCCCATCGATCAATAAGCGGCACATTGGCCAATGGCGTGTAGTGCCCTTGCGGGCTGAGTCCTGTCCTCTGCCTCACGCGCCGTCCTCTACCGTCATCTCCATCTGCCATCCGGAACCTCGGCACGTAATCGGAGTCATTAGGATCGTCGGCCCGTGTGGTCTCGCCAGCGTCAGCGGCTGTGGAACTGTCATCATGGATAATGCTCCAGCCGCCTCGTCTCTTCTCGCCTCGCCCTGGTCCGTCCACGCCGTCACCTTCGTCTGCCCCCGCCTGTCCGTCAGCAGCCGCCGACATCTGTCTGGACTGATCTCTGTAGCGAAAAATAGGTGGCGGGCGGCGCCGGTGATACGGAATCGACGTACCTGTCCCCTTCTTCCCATGCCGCTCCTCGAAAGCTCTCATGGACTCATGACAACTGCCATCGACGTGGCCTATCAACCGCAAGCCCGCGGGCACATCCGTTGGTCCTTATGCTGATGAATGTCCCGTATCGCCCACCCTCCGGTCCGTGCCTGCGCCATCGTAGAAAGACATCGTCGACAATGCACAACGAGCATCCAAGTCATGGGCGGCGGGGTCGACGGCGGGGGGGGTGCGGGGGTGGTGGATAAATCCCCGGCAGATGCGGTCGGGGGTCACCTGCATGCCCGCCTCGAACACCATGTGCGATGGGCCCGCCAGCAGCAAGGTGTGTGGTCGATGACCCGCCATGCTCACTGTCCCCGCCGACGGGCTGACCATCAACAGCGCTTCGTGGCTGAGCCAGATCCCGCCCCGCGCCCTCGCGTCCTCCCGACCGAACGACCCCCGGAACCTGCGCCTCCGTCGCCTCCGTCGGGCCCGGGTGGGGCTCTGCCTGCTGACCCGCCGCCCGTGTTGGGACTAATGACCCGCCGTCCGAAAAATCCTGCGAACCACGACCCCCAGGCGCCACATGATCCACGGATGCTGCCTCTAATGACTCTTCCAGACTGCGTTGCGCTGCGACGCGCGGCCCACCACGGCGGTTCCGTGCCACCTCATCCGCCAACCCCTGCTCCACAGCCCACGGACCTCCCACATGAAAACTGGCGTGAGAGCTGCGGACCTCTGAAGTATGCAGTCTCGTGTCGCCGCCGATCGCGTCGGATTCTGTGTTGTGATGCGTCTCATCCAGTGGAGCAGCTTTTGGTGGCGCCACGTCTCTCAAACTGGGAGATATCATAATCGATATTTTGGGCAGACCTGCCAAGGCAGCATCGATGGCCAGTAACTCATCAGTGCGCGGAAGACTGCCGAGCGGGCAATGGAGCCTGACGCCCTGCTGCAACCTGTCTGGGTATCCGGCCAATGTGTCGCGGATATCCTCAGTGCGGTAACCGCAGCTCGCCAGCGCACGTGCCACCTCCTCTCTACTGTAGCGTAGAGACTCGAGACCATCCTGGGCACAAGCGGGAGTATGTGCGACCTCTCCGTCCTCTAAACCACCGCCTATCGTGGGAGGGGGTGGTGCCTCCCCGTCCTCCAAACCCACTCCTGCAGGGGCGACCTCCGCCCTAGGCGCCCCGTCCGCGCCCGTGACAACATCTGTGGAAGGCATGCGATGGAGCTGCGTCTCCTCCGCAGTGCCGACAGCCGGCTCCGGCGACCGGGGACGATTGACCACCGCTCCACTCTCCTCCCGCGCCAACGACGTGGGATGATCACCCATGTCATCCTCCGACACGACGACCGGGTCCTGCTGCATGACATGTGCCTCCGTCCTGGTCGCGATGTGCACACGACGTCTACGCACACGAGATGCAATGCTGTCATCCCGTCTGCCCCCGCATCTCAACCGCTTCAAAACGATGGCAGGCATGCGAGTCATGGTGCGACCACCGTGACCAACATCG